AGGCTGCTTCAAAACTTGATGCACAGATTTCAGCCTCCTGAGGAACTAAAATGACAGGTGTGAGCCAACAGTGCCTAGCTTCTGTTTGGTTCTTCATTCATATTCTGCTCAGGTATTAAGACTTCTGGGCCTGTTAAGGTCCCACAATTACTCCCACACTTACTTGGCCTGTACAGCTCCCACAGAGAGCCCAGCAGGAGTGGCATGGAATTCTGAGTGGTCTCTTCTGACTTGCGCTGGGCATTATGCTCCAACTACCAATAACAGACAGAAATGTAGCCTCTTATTTTTTAAGTATTCTTCACAGATGATACACTGAGTAGAAAAAAAAGATAGACATAGTGTGGGTTAGAGAACAGAGAAGTTGAAAGTGTTCCACAAGATTTCCTCTGCCTAAATCACAATGAGAGATTACAAGATTCATGAGCAATCAAGACAACAAACTAAAGACTTGAAGAGAAACTTCTCTGAAGAAGAAAGAAGGATGGCCAATAGACACATGAAGAAATGCTCAACCTCCCTAGCCATAAAAGAAATGCAAATCAAAACAACATTGAGATTCCCCAGTTAGAATGGCTATAATCAAGAACTCTAACAACAACAGATGCTGGAAGGGATGTGGATAGAAGGGAACCCTACTTCATTGTTGGTGGGAGTGTAAACTTGTTCAACCACTTTGGAAAGCAGTATGGAGGTTCCTGAAAAGACTTCATATAGAGCTCCCCTATGACCCAGCAATCCCACTTTTGGGCACTTACCCAAATGATTACAAACAAGACCACACTAAAGCTACCAGCACAACTATGTTTATTGCAGCATTATTTACCATAGCTAAGATCTGGAACCAACCCAGATGTCCCTCAGTAGATGAACGGATCAAGAAAATGTGGTATATATACACAATGGAATTCTATGCCTGCATCAGAAAGAATGACATTTCCCCATTTGTTAGGAAATGGAAAGACTTGGAAAAAATTATATTAAGTGAAGTAAGCCAAGCCCAAAGAAACATAGGTCCCATGGTTTCCCTTATTTGCAATATCTAGTATATGTATGAGTCAAGCAGGAAAGGTCAGATAATGTGATGTTAGGAAAATGAACCGTTAGATATGTATTTAAATGTTTTTTTCTTTCATGCATTTGTTTCTAACTCATTTATAAGATTATTTCTTTGTTGCTTTGTATGTCCCTCCCCCACAGTATAACCCCTGCTTTCACTATATTTGATGTCCGTGTAATTTGTGGAGGAGATGGGGAAAAACAAGTCGTTTAAAGATACAGGTAGACCTGATGCAACTATGAGAAGTACAAGTTGTCATGTCAAAAATGAACTTTACAACTTTGGTGCAGGGGGGGGGCGAGGATTGGGTGGGGGGCGGGGGAAGGCTGGGAAGGGATGTGAAGGGTAAACAAAGGAGGAAGCTGCAACGCTTGATAAGAAATGTACTCATTATCTTGCCCATGTAATTGTAACCCATCTGTACAGTATGTTCACAAAAAATAAAAAAATAAAAAAAAAATCCAAGAGTCAACAATAATCCAGGGAAGAACTCCAGTGAGAATAAAGAAGAGATGGATGACAAAAGAACCATTAAAGTAACGATGACAATATTAGTCAATAATAAAAGGGAGATGCAAAAACAACTTCAAGAGCTCAAAGAAGAAATGACAAAGAAAATCCCACACACCCAGAAGATATGGAGACAAAACAGACACGCAATACAACACTTTAAAAGATGAAATGGACAATATGAGAAATGACCTCAGGACTATAAAAGGATCAATTTGCACAATGCAAACTACAGTGCAATACACAGGTAACAGAATATGTGAATTGGAAAATAGAATTTCAGAAGTCAAGGATAAAATAGAGATGCTAGAAAAGTCAAAAGAATCTACCAAGGCCAAGTCCAGAAATTAGCAGACTCAGCTAAGAAATCAAATCTACACATAATTGTGATTGACTAGGGAGAAGAATTTAATAATAAAAGCACCAAAAACCTATTCAGTAAAACAATAGCTGAAAACTTCCCCACTCTTAAGAGAGAAAATCTTACTTGTTTAACTGAAGCATATAGAACTCCCAGTAGACTGGATCCAAGAGAACACTTCCAGACACATCATAGTAAAAATATCAGGCATAAATAGCAAGAAACTGATTTTAAATGCCACAAAACTAAAGAAGAAGCTATATATCTATGGAAATAAAGTCAGAATACTGCAGACATCTCCAGAAAAATCCTCAACACAAGGAGAGCCTGCAATGGTACAATTCAAGCACTAGACATTAACAACTGCCAACCCAAACTGCTCTACCCAGAGAAATTATCTTTTACATTAATGGTAAAACTAAAACTTTCCATGATAAACAAACATTAAAGGAATTCATGACCACTAAACCAGCATCACAAAGAATTGTAAAGGGAGGAACACAATCTGAAGAAAACAATCAAAATCCAAGAAACACCCCAGACAAAACTCACTCAAAGATCAATTTAGTAAACACAGGAAGAGGAAAAAAGCAAAATATAGCAAATGAAGAAAATGGCAGGAAACATGACACATATATATATTATAACCTTAATTATTAATGGGAATAAAAAGAGATTCCCCCTGGTGTCCAAAGTACATGGACCACAGCTGTATTATTAAAGATTCTAGGGGGCTCAGAAGGTGGCTCCGTGGTAGAGTGCTTTCCTTGCATGCATGAGGCCCTGGCTTCAATTCCTCAGCACCACATAAGCAGAAAAAGCCGGAAGTGGTGATGTAGCTCAAGTGGTAGAGCACTAGCCTTGAGCTGAAGAGCTGAGGGACAGCACCCAGGCCCAGAGTTCTGGCCCAATGACTGACAAAAAAAAAAAAAAAAAAGACTCTAGAGTACCATGGGTAGCTCCCACTTATAATCCTATCTTCTCAGAAGTACAGGTGGGCAAAATGGAAGTGAATGGGAGGAAAGAAGAAGAAGAGAAAGAGAAGGAGAAGAAAAGGTCTGTGATCCAATGGGAGGGCAGAGGTGACAGGGGCTGGGCAAGGACCCTAAAATAAAGCACAGCAGGAGTGCCAGCTCAGGGTTCAGCTCACCAAAGCTCCTTCGCCTGCAGGGAGACTCCAGCTGGCCCTCGCTAAGAAGTTTCAGCATCTTGTGCCTCCGCAGTAGGGAGAAGGGACTCCATTCCAAGTGCTCAGAAGCTTCTCCAAGGTGCCCGCCTGGGTCCAGTACCAGTTCCTGAAGAGTCCCAGAAGTTTGCTTAGAATCAGGGATGCTGAAAAGGGAATTTGGGCGAGGGTATGGAGGTCCTCCTGCACACACCCTCCTGGTTCTGGGCACAGAGCAGAGTCAGCCTCTCCTGCTGGAACTCACGCCAAACCTTGCTGACCTCCCCTGGAGTGTCAGAGCCCCTTCACCCTATCCACTTCCCTTCTCTCTTCACAGACAAGGATGGAGCTCATATCCCCCATGTCCACTGTGTGACCCAGACCCTGCTCCATGTGAATCTCAGGGCCCCTGAAAGTCATCCTGAGATCTTGCTGTTTGGCCGGATTTATTAGTAACAGAATGTACCTGGGATTATCATGAAATTGGTCAAACACTTCCACCAGCTCATCCTGCAAAATAAGCTTTTCTCAGGGAGAGTGACCCAGGCAGACTCCAGTCCCTTGGGGAGGTCTGAGGAGTCCTGGCAGTCAGGGCAGTCATCTGGCCTCCTAGCCAGTCTGCAAAAGGCTTTCAGGAATTCAAGGGATCTAGAAAGTCTCATGAACCTTGTGTTCTGGGATGGCAGCTCCCACTCTGGCTTCTAGCTGAGGTCACTGTACTGAGTTGGAGAGGGTTTAGGACACATGTGCGGCCTCCTCACACAGCTGTTCTTGCAGTTCCAGAGGAGGCCTCAGCCAAATGCTGAGGCCCAGCAACTTTTGGAGACTGCTTTTGAGGCCAGGAGCCAGCCATCTCTGAACCTGGTGCAGGAGGAGGGGAGCTGGGGTCTCTGGAGGCCGCTCAGTTGTGCAGACATCTCCAACCCCAGTGAGAGCCTCGTGGGTTCAAGTGGAAGTCTCTGAAGACTTATTCTTTGCTGTTCCTGGCAGCTGGGGGGAGAATGGTGTGTGGGTTGCCTGCTTCCCATCTGTGATAAATGTTGGCAATCTGGAATGTAAATACCAGGCTTTCCCCCAGGTGTGTTGATGGGAAGGCAGACGCAAAGGGAAGGGCTTCCTCCAGCACTGAGGATTGGGTGAGCATCTCCCTGGGGCAGGTGGCACCTGTTCCCTGCTGACAGCAAGAGGCACTGGCTGTCAGGTGCTTCCTCCATGCCCCTTCACCAGGAGCATCTGGTTTTGCCCTTGCTAGGACTTTACAGGCCCACTGAGTCAGTCCTTACCTGGAAAGCTTTCCAAGTTGCCATGACCCTACAGAAAGTGGCCAGAGAGGAAAACTTGTGTCCAAGCCTCCTTGTGACTCCTGTCACCCTGGATTTTCCTGGTTCCCTGGAGCATATTACTTTAAAATCACCAGACTCTTGTTTATTCCAGTACGTGGACTTGGCCAGAGCACTTCCACTCATCCACTCATGGCTGTTGCTCTACTACTTGCACCACAGCTACAATCTGGAATGTTTCCTGACAGATTGGACATAAGAGTCTCAAAGTTTATGCCCTTGTGTCTTCAAACTGTGATCCTCAGATCTCAGCCTCTTTTTTTTTTTGTTCAGAATGTTTATTTTTAGTGTTAGCTAAGGTTAAAAATTGTTTTTCAATGAATCTGTTAACATTTAAAAGACTCAATATTAATTTACAACAAAAATGATCCTGCAAAATCCTGACACTTGAGTAAAAACATACACACTGTACAATGGCATCTATCTTTACATCAGAGTAGTCTCCCAGTCAGACACAGAACTGGCAGAGAGAACAATGTCGTTTTCATTTTCCCATTTCACACAAATTCAGAATTTTTTTCCTTGTTAATGTCTACCAGTTCTCTACAAAATTTTACACTTCACAATCTTTTCTTGAAATATGAGAAAAGATACAGAATCTCCTGAGTTATAAATGTAGCTTATACCTTCTTTAAAAAAGTTACTTTAAATATCACAAATTAATTCTATATCATAACATGTGTCTCTAATATTTGCATAATGATATAAACAACATTCAAATATGTTTGTGCTTTCTATGTTGACATTACTTTAGAACCTATTTTTAGCTTTCAATTAGACTGTTGTAAGATTTCCCACATATTTAATAAATGAAGATAAAACAATCATTAAGAAAATATTAACTGTTACATAGCTTTTCATCTTGCATTTTTTGCATTCCTATCAACCATATAATCTCTGTTCTTTAAGGACAGTGATAGATTTTTATCTTTTACGCATCAGCACTGCTGCTCTCTCAGCCTGGAGAGCATTCAACCACAGCAGGGTGTTTGAACACAGTCTTCACTCTGCCTTATCCCAGGTAGCAGTAACATCTAAGCATGTTGTTATCCATAATTTCCAGCTATTTCAACTGCAGGACCACCTTATTAGCTGCTTCCAAGGAAGTGATTAGATTTTGGAGCTCTTCTTTACTCATTTCAACAGAATATGGTTTCACTTCACCATTTTCTTTAACATCTAGATGAAGGCTTAAAAGTGGCATTTGTAAAGTAGCAATCTTGTCACTAGAAAGTGCAAGCTTTAACTGCCAATCAAAATCCTGTAGATGAGCAGACGAAATGTCAACTATTTCTCCTAATAGAGCCTGCTTGATTTCATCTTTCCTACTTCTCAAGCATTTCATAATAGCTTCTTGATGAAATGAATTTAACGGATTCAATTGCTGGAGTACCTCTTCATCAGATAAACTTTTACCAACTACAACTTTGAAAAACTTGGTAACATCTTCTAGAACAAGTGTCCATTCTGCAGAATTCCAGATGCTGTGATAATCCTGGTAAAGCGGATAAGCTTGGCCACAGATGCCATCAATTATTTTGTGAAGAAACTGCAAGCCCCACTCCTGAGGCAGCTTCTGCAGCCGCGACAGGGCCATCCCATCTTCCGGCTCCATCCTGCGCGACGCCGCGGTCTGAATCCAGATCTCAGCCTCTTGACTAACTGGGATCACATGTGGGAGCCTCCTGAGTGGCTAGTATTACAAGTGTGAACCACCAGCACCTGGCCACATCACACTTTTATAAGTAATTAACCACCAAAAAGACAGAAGTGGAGTTTTGACCCGAGTGCTCAAGTGACAGTTTTAAGCCCTGAATTCAGACATAGTACAAACACATGCATAGGTGGGTGGATGGATAGATGGATGGATGGATGGATGAATGGAATGACAGTTGGAGGAGGTGAAGGATGTGAATATTGAGGATAAGAGGGAATAAAGCAGGAGTGTGAAACTGATGGTGAGAACCATAATGGAGTGGGTATCACTGAATGTCTGATATGAAAAACGTAGTTTAGATGTACAAGACACTATGTTGGAAACTAACTTTACAACTTCAGGGTGGGGGGGTGACTTGGGGAGGTGGGGAGGGAAAGGATGGTAGGGGAAAAACAAAGGAGGAGGTAAAAATGCTCCATAGGAAATGTACTCATTACCTTACTCATGTAACTATAACCACTCTATACAGTATTTTCACAATAATATATATATATATATATATATATATATATATATATATATATATATAAATTTTAAAAATGTAGTTTACAGTTTCTACTCCAGTCTGACAATGAATAGGCCCAGACAAGGAGCATGAGATGTCTTTGATTCTTGAGCTTAGCATGTCTGTAGCATAGTAGGGAATAGTGGCTATAGAACACATGAGACACAGGATTGCATTCCTGACACTAACTGGAAGAAAGTAATCTACAAGCTAATAAGCCTGGCAGACCTTCACAGATAAACACAAAATTATGAAATTATTTAGACTCTGTGTGTGTGTGTGTGTGTGTGTGTGCTGATACTGCAGATGGAAAACTGGGGCTGGAATTCAGTCTCCTGCTTTCACTTGGCTTTTCCTATAAAGGCTGGTGCTCTACCATTTGAGCCACAAGCCCACTTGCAGATTTGCTGCCTCTGCTGCAATTACACACAAGCATATTATACTCTTCTATTCATGATAGCACATCTCAATTCAGAGTGATTTCATATTACATCTCAATAGCTTATGAGATAACATGAAGATTATTGACTACCTTTGTAGTCAATACTACCTTTGTAGTAGCAACAAATGGATGGAACAATAAATGGCCCCCTATGTTGCCATTGTGTTCCAAAAGCAACTCTAGAGACTGACAACCTTTAGCATGGTAAGTTACAGAAGGGCTGGAGGTGTAGCTCAAGTGGTACAGCACCAGACTAGCAAGCTCAAAACCTGGGAACCAGTACTACCCCACCACCTGCAGCATGAAAACCTTCAGGATGGGGAGAAAATACAATTGCTCTTTGAATACTAGAAGGCCAAAGCCAGGACACTGGATTGCAGAACAGTTTCTTCTTCCTAGCTGTTAAATCTCTAGTGTTCATTGTCTCTCAGGTGTAAGGTAACACTGCACATGTATGAATAGGATATACCATTTTTTTTGTAATACCATTTTTTTTGTAAAAGCTGATTTCTTTGGGAGCAGTTCTTCACTGTCACCAGTTTCACTAATTAACAGTTGGGCCTTCACTGCTCAGTTTGCAGGAAGTCTCTGAAGATGACAGAAAATTGGGTTATGAAATCAGGTTGGCTGGGCATCAGGGGTTTAAGCTTTAATCCTAGCTGTTCAGAGGCTGAAACCTGGAAGACTACAGTTCGAAAACAGCCAATGCAGTAGAAAGTATGTGTGTGAAACTCCACCTTCAAATAACCAGCACAAAACCAGGCTGGAGTAAGGGCTCTTGGTAGAGCTTCAGCGAGCAAGTACATTTAGGGAAGGCAAAGACCCAACTTTATATCAGCAAAGAACTGAGTTTGGCTGGGCGTAGTCCATGCTGTGACCAAACCAACACACCTCTCATCACGGGGGATTAGAAATCGGATCTCTACAAACGTTTCCACACGTGTCTCATTCCTGTTTGAGGAGCGCACAGGAAGGACTGACAGACACAGGGGCACACCTTCCCCAGCACACGTGGCACCCGGTCCGTGTCTGCGAGGCTGTTCAGCAGGCCGGGCGGCCATGCTCTCCAAGGATGGCCTGGGTCACACTGGAGTGGCTACGGCGGCCCTTCCGGGCCAGACGCCGCCATCCCACCGCGGAGCCGCAGCCTGCCAGCTGTCCGCACGCGGGCTCAGGTTCTCTTCATCCCTGCAGGGCCTCCCGCCACCCCACTTACAGCCCTCAGGGGGCCTGGTCCTCCAACAAGCCTGGCTTCTGCCAGAAGACGCTCCAGCAGGGCCTGGGGAGCACCGTGTGCACAGCCTTGCACTTCCGGTGGTGGTGTGGCCACTTCGGGTCATGGGCACCTGCCACTCAGAAGTGGGGCCTGGGGCCTGGGGGGGGGGGGTCACACAAGCCTGTAGGACTCTGTTTTGTCTCCTCCAGACCAGCACTGACCTCGTCCTCCACATCCCAGAACGAGAGTCCTGTGCTAATCCTCACTGGTGCTTTGAATAGAACAGTACTCTTTAAAGTACCCAGCCACAGGGTGGGAAGGGGCCTCCGTTCTCAAGCAGCAACACGACTGCCAGTGACATCCTGTGTTTGTCCCACAGCACTGATGGACCAGCCTGACTTTTCTTCAATAACTTGAATCCTTATCAAGGACTAAGTACCCATGTGCAAATTTGTGAGCATGTGTGAGTGAGCTGGTCCAAGCTGGCTGTGCCTACCTGGGACTAACTGGGAGATCCCTCACCACCTCCCTCCCTGCACTTCCCCAGTGTTGCTGCTGCTCTGGCTTCTGCTGAAGGAGTATGACATGCATAGGGGAAGGACTCAGTGTCCTGTCTGGATTGTCTGTGTTGTTGTGTTTCCTTATATCTCTGATGTTGTTTTTCATTTTGTGTTAGTAGTGGATTGTCCTTAGAAAACTCATCAAATTTCTCATTGTCTTCAGAGAACAATTAGAATAACTAGAAAGAAAAAGGAAACATCAATTCAAAAAGTAAACAGCATACTGCTCAAAATTCAGCATTCAATAGCCTGAAAATTGCTGTATTAGCCTCTGCATAGGTAGAACCTAAGGAATTAGTCTTCTAGAAGAGACCAATGTCTAAAGCAGAGGAAAAGCTAACTTCACCTTGGAAACCATGAACTGAGATTTCTACAGTGATGTAGAGAAAAAAATCATCCATGGAATGAGACCCCAAGCACTAACCTTCAGGTGAAGAGGCAGATGCCACCAATGAAGCAACGCCCCCTTTCCCTTTTCCCTCATCCTCTCCCATGCTCGCCCTTGCTCTGCTGTATTGTCCTGTCCCATTTTCCCTTCTCCCCTCTTCTTCCTCCCCTATCTTATCCTGTTCTATCCTATCCTATCCTGTCCAATCTTGGATGGAATGCAGTCAGTGCTGAAACTTCCCTAGCTCTAGGACTGCACCACATCCTTAATCATTTGCTTTTAGAGATCATTTATAGATAACTGTGGCCCAGTTCCCTCAATTCTCCATCCTCCTTGTTGCATATCCTGAGTAGCTGGGACAGAAAACTCAACTAGGCCCATTCTGCAGCCATTTTTGTTCTAGCATATGCACCCATCAAACCTGGGTCATGCTCAGTCCATCTATTCTGAAATCAGAGTGAAGATGTTTGGATTTCCAGAAACATGGGTTGTATTAACGAGTTTATCATGAAGGTATGAATACAGAGTGGCAGAATCCAGGGTTGGATTCATCTGTGATTGAGTAGATTGTCTTTGAAGGTTATATTTTTATCTGTCCTGGGGCTTGAACTCTGGGCCCAGGCACTGTCCCTCAGCTCTTTAGCTCAAGGCTAACACTCTACCACTTGAGGCACAGCGCCACTTCCAGTTTTCTGGTGGTTAATTGGAGATAAGAAAGTCTCACAGTCTTTCTTGCCTGGGCTGGTTTTGAACCCTGACCCTCAGATCTTACCCTCCTGAGTAGCTAGGATTACAGGTTTGAGCCTGGCTTCTTTGAAGGTTTCAAGGGTTCATTCAGCCTATCTAAAGTAGGTCCAGGAGTGGGAAAGAGTGAGTTATCTGAGTGAGGATATAAAATCCAGAGCTTGGGACCTTCTTCATCTCTACAACCAGTTACTTGGACTTGCTCTGTGCTGAATAAAGCAGGAACCAAGGACAACATGGACATGAGCTTTCTCCGCATGGGAGAATGGTGGACCAAGCCTGAACATTTCAATGCCCCATTGGTCTTTTACCTGGAAGAGGAGCAGGAGGAGAAGATATTCAATAGGTGGCCCTTATGCCATCTCCTTGCTCTTCACATTCATCAGTCTCTCCATGTTCCCTCTTTGATCTGTGTCAGGCCCCCACTCTCATGGTCACCTGACTCCCACTTCTATTGGTGGTTTTCCTGTTCTTCCTCTCTCCTTTCTGTTCCTAAGGCAGGAGGACAGATACCTCCACTGCATGGAGGAGCACAGCCACACCCTCATTCAGCTGGAGTCCTGGTTCACAGTCACAGACCACAACCACTTCACTGTGGTGGGTCCACCTAAGGCCAGGCAGTGGCTGATGGGCATGATATGGCTTTTGGAGCACAGGAACGTTCACTATCAAGCTCGAGGTAAATGTCTGTGCTCAAATTGTGGTTGAGGCCTTGAGGCCAAGCTTGGTGCTCATACATGGCAACTTAAAGACTCGACTGCTCAGGAATCTGAGAATCCAGATGTTCCCACAGCCCCCTCCACTGCAGGACACTAGAGTCAACCATATTATGAATCAAGTCATTGAGGGAGGAAAAGGAAATGAGGCATATGACTGGGTCCCATGGGGTGCACTGGGATGTCTCCTACCTCTCCCCTCCTTTGCCTGTGTCTTCACAGGCTTCTTGTACTCCTAGACTGTCTGACCTTTCTTCTGCCTGCCCAGGTTACCAGATGCCGCAAAATACCTGGAGCCAGACCTTAACGAAGGAGAACTTGGCTGCCTGTCTCAGAGTATAGCTAGACTCCTTGGTGGTAAAAGGCAAGCAGGATGAGTGATCCAGCTCTGCACTTCCTTGAGCTGAGTGCTTGATTTTCTTAGGCTCCCTCATACCAACCTACTTGGCATAGCTAAGTGAAGACATGGCAGACAGTGGTAGACATGGACATTTTTGCCTATGTCATCTCCCTGAGACCTTCCAGGCACACATGGATGGCAGTCTTCTAAAGTCTGTGTTTTGCTGGTGAATCATATTCAACAAAACCAGTTGTGCAGTCTACATTGCCTCTATATGGCCCCCTCTCTCTTTCTTTGCTCTTCCTCTGTAAGCTTTTCCTGCCCATTCATTTTCACCATCTCCCTCCCAACTTCTATGAAGTATGCAGCCTCTTTCAAGAGATCTCAGATTTTCACATTTTCAGTTAGTGTATGCAAGTTTCACATGGAACTAGTGATTACGTTGTGTTCTCAAACAATCATGGTTTGCATTTGTCTCCTGAAATGAGTGTGCTCCAAAAATGGGATGTCATTTGGCAAAGATGTCACTTTACCTGCTATCTTAAAGTCTCCCGTTTAACCAGATAACAGTGACTCTCTTTATATCAACTTGAAAATAACAAAGAAGCTTGTTTGGTGGGTCATGCCTATAATCCAAACTTCTCAGAGGGCTGAGATACGTGTATGAAGCCAGCCCATGCAGAAATATTTGGGAGATTCTTATTTCCATTTAACCAGCAAAATCACAAAGTTTGGTTCAAGTGGTAGCTTATACTAGTGTCATCCGGGCCTCCTCACAGTGTGAGGCAGGAAAGTGGGGCTGGATATGGGCCTGGGTGACAGGCTGATCAGGGAGGACAATGAGCACTGTCCTCCTAAAACCTGCAGTACAGCACATGTGCTTTTCCTGAGAATCAGCTGCTGCTCCCTCAGTCTCCCAGCCACAGGAACCACACATCTGTGCTCTGGAGCTTCAGAAAATCTCTCAGTGCACACCTGAACTCACCTCTGCTCTAGACAAGCCACCACCTTGTCCCCTGTGATTCCGAGGAGCCACCCCATGGTCACCTAGCAGCTGATTTTAGAGAGGCCCAAGTGATGGCCACCTCATAAGACTCTCAGCTCAGCCACCAGAAACCCAAGGTGCAAGAGAAAGAGCTGGACCCACCCTGAGCTTCTCTCTGTCCCCCCCTACCCTTGCCTGCACACAGCCTTGGGCTCAGGGGGAACAGGACATCCACTCACCACACCACTGCATTTTGTTTGCCTTCTTCCAATCCTGGGTGTGCCTAGGCTTTCATTCCACAGATGAAGAGCTGGGTAAAGCTTTTCACCACAGATGTTTTTCTGAGCACACAGTCCATGTCTCTTAACTATGGGGGGCCCTGCCTTAGATGCAACTGCACCCACACAAGGCTAGATCCATGGCCACTCCTCTCACCTTCACCTGCTCCCTGCACACCATGGCCTTCCCTCCCACCTCCTCCAGGTAGCTGTGAGGGTCCTCCCCTCAGAAACACAGGCTCCATGTGGGGCTGCTTCAGTCAGCAGCTGGAGCTCATTGTTCTAGAACAGGGAGCTGGATTAGTATGAATGATGCAACTCAAGTGAATAACAGTAAAGTTTTATTAAAATACATCTTTAAATTACATAAAGAAAAAAAAACAGGAACAATTCCCAGCAGATAATTGGCAAGCAAGGGAAAGGACTTGTTTAAGTGCTGAAGCTGGGCTCAGGGGAGCTCAGGAGTTCCTGAGTCTCTACCTCCACACACAGAGTTGTGCTCCCAGTGTTAATTGGGAAGCACACTGGGGTGTATCTGCTGGCGCTAAGTTGCCCTCTGCAGGTAAAAGTGGGTCCAGATCACACAGTCTGTGGAGCCTGTGACATCTCTAGAGCAGCAAGGACACTCACAGGTTGGAGTCCATTTGTTCTGTTGTGTGCCCTTGGGAAACTAGAGACCAAAGTCAGATATAATGTGGAATTGCTCTTCAGACATCCACTGGAGGAAGAGTGTTTTCTTCATAAGCATCGCTCAGAGAAACCTTCTGATCCCAGCAAAATAGTGCTTTACCTTGTGGTTGTTCTTCGTCTTCCTGCTTTGGTGGAATAGAGTCTGTGTCAGATACACTGGACAGCTCTGGGTCAGGAAAACAGAGTTGTGCCTCTTCATCTTCTGACTCAGCTGTAGGACAGTCTGTCTCAGATGTCAGAGACAAGTAATCCTCCAGGTACAGATCAGCTGCCCCGTGCTGGGCGTTTTTAGCTGCCACAAGTGGAAACTGTTCTTCCTCTCCTGATAAAGGCAGAGGCTCATTGAGAGCCTCATCAATGGAGCCCTGAGGTTGTTCTGCGTCCTCTGCCTCTGATGGAGAGGTGTCTTCATCATGTGCCCTGGGAAGAAACACAACAAGATGCAGAACTGCTTTTTTGGTCTGTGGCTCCTCTGCTGCTGCTTTTGGCAGGGCTGGTACTGTCTCCACGGCTGTGCACACATCCACTGGGAGATCCACGTGGGTACATGGCAGTGCTCGTTCTTCTGCAGGCAGTGCTGGAGATTCATGGATCTGACGTGAAGAGGACTCGGCCATCCTGGCCTCCAGGTCAGCTAGAGCACATGCTGATTCTTCAGCTGCTGCCTCAGCCCCACACAGCTTTGTCTTCAGTGCAGTGAGCACAGCCCACTTGGTGTCCACCACACTTGGCACCTGGGGTTGGCTTGGAGGAGTCACAGCAGTGTCCCCATCCCTGCTGTCCTGGGCGGGACTGCCAGGTGCCACTTGCCTGTCTCTCCTTAGGAACTGCCAGAAGGTTCTTCTGGGTCTGGGTTGGGGCTGGGGTCTGGGTCGGGGGTTGATCCAGTGTCTGCAGGTGTCAGCCAGGCGCTCTCTGCAGGATCTCCTGGAGTCTGAGGTAGTGAAAAGCGGGCAGCAACAGGAAAACATGTTGCTTTCCTTGCTAACTCGGATGAGTTTTCCTGTTGTGGTTCTGGAATGTGGCTACTTGGAGACCTGGGTTCCAAGTTCTCTTTGGTCTTCTGTCAAGTCTGTGGTCACTTCCTGGGGTCCTCTTACCTAAGACTCTTCCTCCATCAGGACCCCACATTGTGCCCCTGGGCTTCTGCCTGCTCCTCATAAGTCTCTCACTATTTCCATAACTGTACATAGTTTTACCAGTACACCCCACCATCTCTCAAAAGGCCTGTTTGCAGTCAATATCCCAGCTTCTAGGAGATGGAGGGGAATTCACATAATTTAGTATGTACTGCTTTAAATATCGTCATGTATGCAGGAGATTCCCACAGGCTTGATTTTGTTACTAATGCACCAAATTTTTGGTGTTGGAAATGAACTTTACAACTCTGGGGCGTGGAAGGGACTTGGGGGAGGAAAGGGATTGAGGGACAAAAATTAAGGAGGGGGTAACAATGTTTGACAAGAAATGTACTCATTACCTTACTTAACTGCAACCCCTCAGTACAGCTCCTTTACAATAAAAATCTTCCAGAGACACATAGGTAATGGAAACTCTTGAGGAGACCAACATGGGTCCACATGTGTGTACACACTCGAGTAGATACATACATCTATTGTTGCACATAGTCAATTTTCTTGTGTCATCTGAGTATCTGATCCACCTCCCCCAATTCATTTGTTGTGACCTCATCTCCAAGAGGAATATGTTAGGAATAAGTCTTGCTGTGTGGTTCAGTTCAAGCACAGGCATCTACATTAGAAAAATCCTTTGATCTATAGGACTAGGAACTCTTATCTCCAATTAACCTTCAAAACGCAGGAAGTGGCCAGGAACTGGTGGCTCACACCTGTAATCCTAGCTATTCAGGAAGCTAAAGTATGAAGATCCCTCTTCAATGTCAGCCTGGGTAAGAAAGTCCCTGATATTCTTGGGTTTAATAAACTACTACAAAGAAAATCCAGGAAGTATAGCTGTGGCTCAAATGGTAGAGCAGTACCCTTGAGAAAAAGAGCTCAGAGACAGAGCCCAGGATCTGTTTTAGCACCTAAGAACCATGCCCAGACATGAGAGATTACACACATGTGTGCACACACATACACACACACAGAGCAGGCAGTGATGTGATATTGATATTCAGATAACTTGGAAGTTTGTTGCATGTTTTTATGTATGTTGTTTTGGCAGTTTAAAAAGTATCTTTCATTTCTCAGTGCTGATGGGTTATTCTTATAATCTTAGCTAAATAGCAAACTTTGAACTTATCATTGTTGTTGGAAGCAAGCCAAGCAAGAAAGTTCCTGAGACTCATATGTTCAATTAACCACCAAAAAAATCAGAAGCAATGCTGGGGTTTTTAGGTGATGAGTACTAGACTTCAGCAGAAAACAGTTCACAAAGAGCACCTAAGCACTGAGATTGAACCCCAAGATCGACAAAAAGAAAAGAGACTGACATTGTATGGTTGGTTTCTTCCCTAGGTGTGTATGTTTTTAATACTAAGAACAGTTTATGTGATATTTTTCAGCCTCTTTATACTATTTAAGTCAATTACTTTGGAGGACATCTATTAGTTCTCTATCAAATTCAAAATTAGCAGGTTTCTTTTCCCTGATTTCTTTTCTTCAAAAATAGATTTTAATTAACATTGTCTTTCCTATTTTTTGTATTTTTCATACCACTAAATTTAAACTACTTGGTTTATCAGCTTGAAAGAATAGTTTTAACTCTAAAGAATTACATATGGAAAGAATGATTTTTTCACTTTTCTTCCCCATTTTATTAGTTTTAAAATTTCCCTGATTGAAGGATATAAAATATTTCTCTTTCCTTATGTCCTGTTCTGTGCTTGCTTTGGTCTTGTTCTGTAGTTAAATATCATAAATGCTCACAGACAATCCTACTTCAGTAATGTCTCCAGTTATCTCTCAGTCACCAGAAGTCACCTCACCATAATGCGGTTTTGGTCAACATCTGAAAAAGTAATTCACAACCTACAACTCCATAGCTTTCTGGTTTCCAGCACTATCCTTCACTGGTTCGTGTTCCC